ATAAGTACTTTTTACAAGTACTGAAGTACTAAAAAAGGATCATAGAGGTTCATGAGGAAGCTCAAGGTGACAGCCTATTGGATTTCTAATAGGCTTTAAACAAATTTTAAGAAAACTAGCAAACAGCTGATGGTCTGATTCACATGGTCCTTCCTCACTGCTGGGCTGTTTTATTGAAAATCCTGATTTCAACACTTAAACATCGTACATTGCCTAGCACCACACTGTTGTACCACGTCCTGGTAAACAAAATCAAATGCAACATCAGAAAATTTATTTTGATAAATCACTTTTTTTAAAAAATCATAGGAAACTTATTCCAAATTGTGATATTTTCTCAAAAATACAATTGTTTGGTTGGGATATTTTTTGCCAGAGAATTAATGCAGACAGTTTCACTAGACTTACATATCACGCCTATAATGCAGTCATGATAAAATTTTTTGTTAGATTTGTTTAGAAAATATCCTTTGCTTTGTAAGTTTTAATAGAGATTTGACAGACAGAAGACCTTTTTTTGACTTGGTTGCAGCCTTTGCACTTGATTCACAACACCATGAATGAATGAAAAGTAAGCATTACTTAAGAAACTTCTGATTTGGCCAATGAGGTTACTGTAAACAACTGGCTTCCTTTTTTGCAACATGACTGCAATTGTGCTTGTTTAGCTAAGCTGTCATGCATTTTATTTTGTGTAAATCCATTTAAATTGTGTGACAGCTGCAGTTAGGCCTATGATGGCATGCATGAGGCAGAAAGAGCAGCACAAGCATGTGACAGGAAAAACAAGGCATTAGAAGCACTCCTACAGAGCAAAAAAATTTCCCGTTTCTCCCATTCTTAATCATTATCCTACTTCATAAACTATATCCCTAATGCCATGCTAGCACTTTTTCTCTCTCATTCTCTGCTTTTTTAGCCAACTGTGTAAAACAAACTGTCACTGCATCAGTTATTGCACTGCATGAGACACTGGTTGAAATGCCAGAATTTTAAAAACATTTGGATTTTAAAGCTGTGAGACAAGATTCAATGTTATATAAAAAGTCTACCAAGAATCTAAACCAGTTTGCCTGGGTGCAATCTCCCCGTACATAAAACACAACTAAATAAAATTTGCTAGTTAAAGGTGACAACAATTTGATCATATTCAGAACAATTTATAAAAGTATGCCTTGTGACCAAGTAACAACATTAATAATGACTTGCCCATACCAACACTGTATAGGGTTTTGTTCTGCTTGTTTAGGGCTTTTAGCTTTGCTTATTGAAGCTACTAGTCACAGGCTTTACAACTTGTTGATCAAACACTGTAGGTGAGTGCACCACACAGCAGCTTCTGGCCATCACATGCAGAGAACCAGATACCTTGCTCCTGTGCTGAGGAGCAGGGATGCTCCACAGAAAAAAGACACTCCTTGCCCAAATTCATGCTTTTGGTTCTCAGAGATAAACCTTTTTATTCTTGCTCTGCACAGAGGAGAAGAATGTTACCCCACACTGGAAAGAGATGTGGAAACAAGGTGCTACATCCACAGGGTAAGCCACTGGAGAATGTGTTGTTCAAAGAAAGGACATTCTTCAGTACCCTGCTAGCCAGAATTTCAGTCAATGCTGTAGAACAGTCTCCTCTCTATCAGCATATTTAAAGCAACAAAAAAGACTCAAAATCTCCAAACTAGAGTAGAGACAGACTGTAACACTTGGCACTGGGGGGACAAAAGACTTCACACAACCATAAAATCATTCAAATCTGACAACTTTTACTCCCAAGTTTTACTCCCAAGAATGGTGTCAACAAAAGTCAGAAGAGACTGTGGAAAGAAATCTGCTCTGGTCTTTCTCCAAAGTTACAGTCTTCACTACATGTGTGATCTAAATGATTTAGCTACATCATTACAAACAAAAGTGGCATGGATTTACAAGGCTTATGCATTTTCAACCAAATTTAAACTTTGTTTACATTTGTTTACTGCAATTGTGAAAGGATTTATGATTTAACATATCCTAAAGTGGAAAAACAGATAACAGTTGAATCTGGAAGACTTTATCAAGCATCTTGATTTTAATAAACCTTTCAGTCTTATGAAAGTAAGTGCTCTTTTTGTTTCAAAAATTAAAGAGCAATACAAATTTATCCAATACACCTCTGGGGCAGGGAGAAGCAGATATGCTGCATTATCCAAAGTTTGACCTAGTCACCTGGGTTTGCAGTACATTTTACTCAAGGATGCAAAAATGGCAACATCAATGCAAGGAAAAAAAAATCTATTCCTACAAAAATCACACATAAATGTCCAATAGGCACAAAAAAAAAAATCAAAACAAACACATCATAATCTATCCAGATAAAACATAAGTTACCACAATATGGAGAAAGTACAAGCATTTTTAATTTTTAATCTACTAGAATTCATCACTGGATTTACAACAAATTAATTTCATGTTTGGAGAATTTCTTTTTACTTTTCAGCCATGTTGTGACTGGTCTTGTGAAAGCTAATCTAAACTGTCTTTAATCATTTGAATTGGATTTATATGCCAGTAACTTTGAAAATAAAACAATGGATGGTGTGTGAATCTTGGATTTGTTTATCTTTTTGTTTGTTTTGGGGATTTTCTGTAAATATAAAATATGCCTACCAACCACCTTCAAAAAGGTATTCTTCCTTTAGATTAAAGAACAAGTTTTATTTGTGAACAAATTCAGGAATGTTTTTTATTTGATATCATCTAATAATACTATTACTAGATGATATAAACTCTGATTTTTCTGAACTGACAAGATGTTGCCTAAATTCTCTCTTTTGACTTCAGGTGACGGCTCTATACTTCTCAAGAGTTACCCATTAGAGCATAACAATTTGGAGATAGAGATCACTAGCCACTTTTATCATTACAGGCTGAAAAATGTACATAAAGACAAAAAAATCTTTACAGAATCCCATAGTTTCCAAATATAACTTTTCTAATCTATTAATTTTAAACATTGTTTAGATTTGTTTTTATGAAAGAAAAGGCTTGACAGCGAATGGATTAACTTCCAGGCCATCAGCTTATATAAAGACACAGCAACAACTGAATCATCTTTTGTTTTTACTCCTAGGTCAGAGGGCTATGGAAACATTTAGAATAAAATCAGTCCAAACTACCATAATTTAGATATTTTGATCCTCCCAAAACCAAGCTCTTTTTTCCACCAGCCACTTGAAATAGGTGCAGATTAATCCAAGCCAACTGCTCAAGTGCTCCACGTACCAACAGATCCTTGGTTTGTGGGCAGCCTCGTGCTTCTCGCTCTGATGGATTTATCATTTCTTACTGAAGGCAGCAAGAAGAATGCACCACTTATTGCATTTTGGGGGTTAGTGGGGTGTGAGGAAAAGAAGACAGTAAGACACAATGAAATCATATTTTCATGAAGTACAAGAGAGATTATCTACTCATTTTAACTAAACCAAGGACTTAAAACATTAAGCTCCAGAAGAACTTGGTAACTTTAGTTTCAATGAATATGGATTTTAGAAAAAATCAAATAAGTAAAATTTGAACAGGAAAAACTTTCCTTTATATTTAATATTCACTATTTCATAATTAACCTCTGTCTTTAGAAATTTAAGTAAGAAGAATTCAGTAGAAAAATACTTCCTGCCTGGCAGACAACCCTAGCTTATCCTAAAAACCCTACAGTTCAACCAGGTACTTGGGAATCAGATCAGAACTTCCCAGTTGCCTCTCACACACATTGAGACAGCCATTTTCACATGAGCCCTCTGGCAAGCTTTCCTCCTGAGCATGTGAACATCTACAGGACTGGTTTTCTCCCTATGGCAGGTACATTTTACAGCAAGAATAGCAGTGGATCATAATCGATTCATAAACCTGTTCTGAAACAAGTCTGCACATTTTATAAACAAACCCAAAGTCACTTCCTATAGTCTATTTCTGGTTATTAAATGAAAAGTCAGAATAATAATGCAGGTGATCTATTAAATAGCATTCATTGTAAAATAATCTGCCACTTGCCAGAAATCAAATTATTCTTGTTTCACACATTTATTTAATAAGGTCTGTAGAAATTAGAAATAATAGGGGGTTTTGTTCAAGTAAAAGTATAGCACCAAAAAAAAGTAGATCATGATGAATAGAAAATACAACATTTAAGGTTACAAGTACATCTATTTGGGGCATTCAGAACTCCTTGGACTTACTGCAAGTGATGCTCTTCTCACATAATCCTTTCTTTTTAAAGAAATACCATGACTCTTGAAAACAGTATCTGAATCTAGACACTTCCAAAGAAACATTTTTCTTTTTTAATTTAATTAGCAAACATGGTTGTAAACATAACAAGACATAGTGACTCATGCTTCTTAAATATGATCCAAATCATAAATAATTATTTTACTTGAAATTTTATTTAAAATAATAGTTCTATGTAGCAAAAGAGGCATAGGTAGTTGTGCTAGGTTATAAATAAATAAATAAAATAAAATTTAAAAAACATCAGTGAATTTAAAGCTATGCCAAGGCTAAAAAGAGTTGTTTCAATCCTGCTACAAGAGACAAGATGCTTGAAAAAAGGCAATATTTTGAAATAAGAAGACACAAAGACCTGAATTCTCTATGCATTGTCTGCTTTAAAAGGGAAAGAAGAAATATCTTTTCCACTTGTTTTACTACAGTGTCAATATTTTATAGATGGGTTGGTCCTTAACATCTTTTCTCAATGCAGCCTATATTAAATAACTAACCAGAGCATATAATCAAATAAACAAATATAAAATGCCTATGCACAGACTGGAAATGAACATATTTTCAACAGCTATTCAAGTATCCTTTCTTTTTCCATAATATCTACTGGTGTTCATAAATTTTCTCAGACCTACCATCTCACTTTGTCTGCCTCTATGTATTAGCTTAGTTCAGAAAGTCAGCATGAGCAATAAGGCAATATGACGACTTTTATTTTTTTCACTACTCAGAGATCAAGTATTTACCTTCCACAAGCATGTCTGGCACATCTGCTTGATATCTAGGCCCCACTCTGATTTCTCCCTTGTCTGCTAAAAGTGTTTTCAATGATGGATCATACACCAGTGAATAAAAAAAGGTATCCTAAAAAAAAAAGAGACATGTTTGCAACAGCACAATAATTTTTAAAATTAGGTTTGCAAATTTGTAACACCTTCCATTTGGAAATTTGCATACTTTACAGAACACAGATTTGGTACATAAATCTTTATTCTGTATAATACAGATGCTTGATGAATGCTTTTAAAAGGATAATTAAGACTTCTCTCATTGTTAGGACTTACTTCAGAACAGAGCAATAGTGAAAAGATCCGTACACAAAAATATATCAATTGATTTGAAGAGAATTGATGTTAGATGCTTACTGAATTTAACAAGTGTGCACTCATAAGTATCTCAACCATACTGACTTCCCATTATAAATTAATCTCAAAATAAATAAAACACTCTTTGTAAACCCTTCTCAGGCACTAAAACGGCATTGGCAAATGTGGTATAGTCACATAAGTATAGGCCAAGTCCTGCTTTTAAACATATTTTTACTGATTATCAGTGGTTTGGTGTAGAAATTTAAAAATAAAGACATGCTAATTTCATTTAGAAAATATTGCCTTCCTGATGTTATATTAAGACACTCCAAAAAAAATGTTTCTTTTAAAGGTATTTTGCAATCTTTCAAATTCTTGGGGAATTTTCTTCCTCTCTGGTAAAGCTAAGCATCCTCAGTATCTTCCAGAGGGCGATGAGGAGATACTTTCCATACGATAAAAGGAAATAATAAGGAGGAAAAAAAAGCACCATGTGAATTCCTCCTTCAGTATCTGCTACAGGAAAACACCTCTATATTTTCAACTGTAAGATGCCATATTAATTACTTCAAATTAATAATTTTCTAAATACGAACAGATTCGTAATAAACCTATTATTTAAGTGTGTCAATTAAGTTGTTTATCAAATAATATTGTTTAAATCAGTGTTGTGAACAACATAATTTTTTTAACCTATCATCCAAGATGTGATTTTCAAAGTATTGTTTGACCATTTGTTAAAAATAGAGAGAGAAAAATAAACTTATCCTAATATTTACTTGAACAGAAATCACAATTACCTCTTTCTCCAGGTATGACAGCACAGATTCTGTCTCATTCAGAAGTGCAACGCTGCATTTTCCCCTACACAAACATAAGCAAGAATAGTTACTTTGTAAAAAGTTCAAATTTCAAGTAGAGTTACTTAAAAGAGAACAATCTAGATAGATTTTAAACTTCCACACTAAAAATATAAAAACATTAAAATATATAAAAAATAATATTGCCATAATTTAATAATACTAACATTAATATAAAAGCAACAAAACAAATGGCTGTACTGAACCAAGCATTCAAATACATTGGAAATCCATCAAACTGGGAAATAATTTCAGTAATGAAAGGCAAAAGAAGAGAAGAGGTACAATGGCAAACAATAAATGCACACACAATTAACCAAAAGGCCTGGATTATAGAAACATCACTTCCAAGTAATTTATGCCCAGTAAGTTCAGCGTATAATTTGAAAAACAATAATTCAAACTGGAAAGAATATAAGGCTTTACTTTAAGGCTGTAAAAACAAAGCACTTTTCTCTTTTGAATGGAAGCATTTTAAATAATGAATCATGGAATTCTATTAGTTTCTTCTATGCCCACATTAAAGTGATGATGCCCACATTTCTGTGCAGGCTCTTGTTGCCCAGTAGTGGTACAGGCGTGCCCACTGTAACATAAGCAGTCAATGCAATGGTGGGGGATTGGACCCCACCACCCTCCTCCCTTCTCATCCCATCTCCCCACAGCATTGTCTTGCCTCAAATTTCTCTGTCTCCAACTTCTCTGCAAGTAACCTGCAGAATTATTTTCAACAAATGGTATTTTAAAGAAGCCCTCATGGATGTGGATGAAAAATGTTAAGTGTGCTGAATCACCCTGCTAGCAACTCACATTTTTATGTTATAATTTACAACTGAACTATCATTTTATATATACACGTATGCATGTGTGTATGTATTTATATATATATATGTATATGAAAATATATTTATTACCGCTGACACACAGCACCTTGTATTTCACGCACCAAAGTTTTACTCAGTTTAGTTGGTATTTGCCAGGAGGCTCATGTGGCCTTATACATCAGCTACAGGAAATAAGCCCAGAACACCCACCTCCCATCTATCCTCATAGAACAGACCAGAACACAGAGAAAGAGTACTTGTTTGCAGAGACCTTCTTGATTTTAAGGTAACACCAAAATGGGTGTTGTAAAAACCCCTCATTAAGCTCAACCAGAGGCATGAGAAGCCAATTGCTAATGGCTGATCATTAAGTAAACATACCCAGCTAATGTCTTATTCATTGCCACTGCACTGGGAAAGGGGAGTAAGCCACACATTACTGTCCTGAATTTCTCTTCATTGTCATACCTGTCTGGAGAACCACACCACCCAAGAAAAATGGGAAGAAGGGGAAGTCTGACCACAATACACAACAGCTGAGGAAAACCCTCCTGCAGAAGAGAAGCAGGAAACCTTCCAGACACCCGATCATGTCTTTCTTTGAAGGTTTAAGCTTTTGGCCTTGATAATTCTAGAGCATTCACTTCTAAAAATTAATTGTGTTGTAGCATGAAGTCAGTTTTCCAACTTTATTTTAATATTTTATTGGGTTTTTTTAGTGTAAAGGACTAACCAGGTGTTCACCTTTCCAGTCTGGTTCTATTCCATATAGCTCCAGTGTGCCCCCTCTCTCCACTACAGCCTGCCCCTATTTATCTCCAATTACCACAGAGGCATTCATTGCTTCACTGCCATCATGACTGCAAAAGTATTTTATTGACCAACCTCATCTTTGATTGCTGGTCCGCTAAAAAATTCATTTTATTTCATTAAGATCCAAGATTAGTCCCTGCAGCATGTCTTCTAAGTGAGTGAGTTGCTATTTGATGCTAAACTTCTTCATACAGCACTTTAACCATCTAATGGCTGGAGTCACATAGAGGTAACATTTTGAATGCATATATGACCTCTTGCATGGACTTGTGTCTCAATGTAGACAGCACTAGAACTACAGTAGACACTAAAATAAAAAAACAACAACAGAACTCACGTTTGAAAACAGATAAATTACAGAAGTCTTTCTACTTTTAATTCTCTGTATTTCAGTTTCCCATTACTGTAATCTAGAAACCTGCAATACCTAAGTGATTTAGAATCTTGACCAAATTCATAAAAGCCTACTGTTTATATAACTCCCCCTCTCCTCTCCCATCAGAGGAAAAGCTTCTCTGTACAGTTGCAAGAGCTCTGCTGGACTGAACTGAGCATCTAGTTCATTGCAGCATGAACACTGGGCACTCCTCAATCATGGATGCTAAGGTAAGAACTTAAGTGAATATTGATTTGTAGTAATATGCACCTTAATATTCTCCACTGCACTTTTCACCCATTCTTCAATACTAATAATCAAACACCCTGGAGAAAAAGTTAATGTCATTTAAACCACATTACAAGACAACCTGGGAGTTAGTTTTTTAAGGGATGTATCTGAGAACCCATAATTTCTCTGGATTTAAAAATATTTTCCTCCTTACAGTGTTCTGGAGCTTTATTCCTTAATGCTTTTAAATTAAGATAATTGAGAAAGATAGAGCTATATCAAATAAAAAGAATCATTATAACAGCACACAGTCTGACTCTTCCAAACTAGACAAAGAAAGGGGGAGCCAGCTACCTACAAAAATAAATGAAAGAGAATGTATGCTGCATTTAGCAGATTATAAAATCTGTTACAAACCAAAATAAAATTATACTCTCTTCTTTCAGAAATCCTACCGTCTTTACGTTTTAAGCATTATTTAGATTACTGGCATACAATGTCACGCATTCATTGTTCTGTTGGAGTCTTCCGCCTGAAATGCATCATTAAACTGAACTCAGGTAAAAATTACAAAGAATTGCCCAATTAAAAAAAAAAAAGCAACCATAAACAAATAAAGAGTTGTCTACTACTTTTCCACATATGAAACCTTCCTCCTCTTATGTAACTCTGATTCCCTGATTTAAGCTGTATTCCTCCAACAAGTAGCATTCTTGACTTAACTGGCATCATCAAGGTGAATTACTAGTTCACAGCATCAGAAGGTCTCAATTTTCTCTTTCTCAAAGATGACATGACTGATTTTGACATTTTTCTCAAATTAAAAATATTCAGAAAATTGGTTTTTACTTCCTACAGAATTAGGCAAAATTTATCTTGTAGGAGTGTTGAGGGGAAGTTTAAACAACCTCAGCAATGCACAAATAACAGTAACCAAAAAAGTAAGTTAGCTTTTATGTCTTCATTAAAACTTGATTTTGATGAGATTAAGTTGTGCCTTCAGAGTCCTTTCTGCTCTTAGATTTACTTCATATCTAAACTGATCACAAATAAAGGGTTGTTCCATTGAGCTGACAAGAACGCCAACAAAATTTATTATATAATTAAATCAGCCAGCAACAAAAAAGTAATTTAGAGGTCTTGCAGTAAAAGGAGACAATAAAACCCACCTATAAATATATGCTCATGGTATTGCCAGCTTCTATCATATAAACCACTTAGGATTCAATTTCTTCTTCTGTCCTAGTAACCAGAGCCACAACTCATAACTCTCTTCTTTAAAGCATTAATCATGTGAAAGCTCTTTTCACATGCTACACCTTCCTTCACTCTCATTTGTTAGAAGCTTTTGTCTGCTTATAATTTTTTTTTCTGTATCTTCCAGGTGACTTCACCAGTGAGTGGACAATTTCTGATCATTTACACCCCTCAGCTAAGGGATGCCTGACATGCTATTTTTCCACACCGACAGCCTACTTCCATACCTCAGGGAAGCCCTTCTGTTACAATACAGAAATGAGACTCACACTCTCTCCAGGAAAAACAAATAAAAAACAAAAAAATTTTAGTTCTAAAGTGCCTTAATGATTTTGTAGGAAAGGATTTTTTCAACAGCCCTAGCAGAAACCCAGAACCATAAAGTCCCAAAACTAAAACTCGAACCATTGCCAGCCAAAACCTCAAAGCACAGAGACACTGATGAGGATTATAAGGAAATGGCAAGAAATAACAGTTATTATGGTAGATAGAAGTCTCATTTAGGGGAACATAAAGAATTTGCTCCCGCTCCCCCCAGCCCTTGTTTTATGGAACTACTTTTCCTGGGATGGGTGGAAGCTGTTTACTGTTCAACAAAGAAAAAGAAAATTAAATTCTAAGAAATAAGTGACAGCTTTGTGAGACACTCATAGGTCAGACTGTCTTGGACAAGTCAATATGGAGCTCATGAAAATCAACACTCTATGTGAGATGTCAGCTACCAGACCAGCCCTGAAGGACAGATTTCACAGAGAGTAAGCTGAGGTAAGACCTAAGAGATCTTGAAAACTAAAGATAAAAACATGCCATGTTTCAGTGAGACACAATAGAGGAATGAAAACCACGTAGGAACTTACTTCAGACAAGAATGTGACAACAATCAGTATTTAGATGAGAGAAGGACAAGACTGACCTTACTAATCTGGTACAATGAAGGCAAAAGATGATGATAACCAGCTCAAGAGCTTAAGTAGCAAGAAAAATAGTTGTACTAGGTTTATTATACCAGACAATGTTATCAAAAGATTTCAATAAAGTCTGGTTAAACAACCTAGACCAAAACACCAAATTGCCCAGAATATAGAATGAAATGCCTTCTTGTTTGCACTGTCTAGGCAATCGTTTTTAAAGAGGTTTTTTCTTAGAGTAACCAAAAATATAGATTAAAATATTTATGAAAATTTAAAAAAGCTGATGCAAACGCTTATATTTTAAACTATCAAACTTATTCAAAATCAACGACTGCCTCATCATTTCAGCCCAAACTTATATACCAGTGGAAGCCTCTACAATTCCAGTTCTGCTATTCTTGCAGGCTATTCTTCATGTTTTCACCAGATGAGTAAGACAGCCCATGAGATACAAACTTTTTAATATATAGATTTCTTGGAAGAGGAAGCATGGAAAAAAAAATTACGGAAAGAAATTACAAGAAATAAAATACCTGCTGCATTTTAACTAGCATGAATGATAAAACGGGAAAAGGCACCTTCATGGGTTCAG